GCCACAGAAACAAATCCATGAACCAGTGGTCCTGTCTAAAGAAAGACAGGCTTTGTTATGTTTAAAAAAACAAATGGAAATTAATAACTTGAATTGACTCATTTCTCTTTGACCACTTTTCATCTTTTAATAAGCATTTCTGGGTAGCAAGCACTCAGGGCCCCAATGTTAAATCAATGGAAAATCCAGTCCAAGATCCTGATGTTACACTTTATATTTTGCTGAACTTAAAAATTAAAAACTTGCTGTGCTGTCAAGCGTAGGATCGTGTTTCGGTTTACATTCTCAAAACCGGTGAGGAAGGTAGGGCTCTCAACCCTCCTCTTTTGAAAAAAATAATCCCTTGAAGTGTGGGGTCTTGGAAACATTTTTCTAGCATTCTTAATTTGAGCATTGGCTGCTTTTGAATCACAGCCCCTGGAACATCCCCTCGTCCAGTCAGTATACTAGGGAGGTGTTAACTCATTCTCTTCCTGGAAGCATCCTGTGATCCCTGCACCTGCTGTGCCTGAAACAGTACTCAGCTTTTCTCGTGAAGCCCTGAACTTAAGAAATGTTCTGTTTTCCCCCAGGCTTCCCATTCCCAGTGTTTTCAGAAATCTGGTACGTAGCAGGTAGTGTTGAGATGTTCATGAAACCACAAATAAGAGCCTAAGCTAGCAAGTGCTTTGGGGTGGGGATGGGGGAGCCTAAGGTGAAACTAAAAAAGATTTTAATCCAAACGTAACTTTAAATCTGTTTTTTAAAAGGGAAACAGAAAAAGTAGCTTGTGTTTTAAGGTACCAAACATTAAAATCCCCACAACCATTACCTGTGTACAGGACATAGTCTGTGATGGAACTGAGGCCTTTTGGCATCTCAGTGAGATCGGCCCCAACAGTTACTCCTTTTGAGACCTAGATTTCCTGGGTCAAGATGTTGAAATCTCACGTGGCAGAATCCTGTTGCCCTTTGGTTTACTGCTAAGCTCCACTTAGCGACATTTGCTGCATCTTGTTTAAGACCTCTTCCTTAAAATCAGTCTTTGTTTACCTTTCAAGTAGATACTTGTGGGGCAGCCAGGTAGTGCAGTGGATAGAGCACCAGCCCTGGAGTCAGGAGGACCGTGGTTCAAATCCGGCTTCAGACACGTAACACTTAGTAGCTGTGTGACCCTGGGCAAGTCACTTAACCCCATTGCCTAGCAAAACAAAAACGATTAAATCAAGTAGATACTTGCAAACTTGAAGTAAATGGTAGTTTCTTTCCTGATGTTTAATGTCCCCTGGAGAAGCTGGACCTGTGACCACAAATGCTTCCCGAGTCTTGTTTGTCAAGAGTAGAGCGAGCTTCTCCCTGGACTCCAGCTTTGAGTCCTCCAGCTTGATGAATCCTGGGTACTACTGGGCTCCTCTGCACTGGTCTGTATCCAGCGCTGCCAAGGTGCTAACCACGTGGTCTTTGTTGCAGTGTCAGGGCAGGCCTGCTCCCTGCCCTTACCTTTTGAAAGCAACTATAACCACCAAAGAGCCATTTCTGGAAGGAGTCTGGTTTTCTAGACACAGTAGCAGCTTGGAAGGCCAAAGGGATCAGGAGAGAGAGTCGTGTCTACAGGGAGCTCCAGTTGCTCTAACAATAACGGAAGCTTTATGAACAAGCCTAGGTGAGCCTCATGTGGCACTGTGGCACTTGGGTCAACAAACTAGAGAGATGTGAAAGAGGATTTTTGGGCGGCCCAAGTCAAAGAAAGATGGAAGTCTGGATTGAATTTAGAAAGCAAAACATATGCTGAGTAAGGCTGGCTGTGATCTACTGTACTCTGGACCTCTGTTCCATGGCAAAAGGGAGGGGAAAACAAAAAAATGGAGTCTGAAAGGTTCCAAAATGACAGGCATCCATGGACTAAAAACCTATAGGGGAAGGAGTTCTGAAGGCACAGGACAGGCTCCAGTTCTGGGCCAAACTCTAGATGATGTTAAAGGGAGCGTTAATCAACATTTGTCTCAAAGAGCAGACAGTGACCACCAAGAGCCATGTTTTCAGCAGTCACAGGTGGTGAAAATCAGCTGGTCCCATCAGAGGACTAGGGAAGCGGTGTACCGCCCCTTGGCAGGGAGGTACTAATGCAGAGGTGGAGAGAGGACCATTAAGTTCGTTTGGTTTTTGCTGAACTGTATCTCCTTTGTTATAAGGCAGGGTTCTATTGGAAATCATTGGAGAATGGCAGTATAGATCAGGGGAATGCTATATTATATAAATTTGGGGGGGGTGAGGCAATCAGGGTTAAGTGACTTGCCCAGGGTCACATAGCTAGCGAGTATCGTGTCAGGCCACATTTGAACTCAAGTCCTCTATTCACTGTACCACCTAGCTGCCCCAGAATGCTGTATAATTTAAATTTTTGGCAAAGCATTTCAAAAGAGGCAGAGATGTGGATTTGAACTGACCACTAGACCCAAAGGAAGGTCTAGGGGTGTGTGTGCCTTTGTTCGTATCGGCCTTGTAGGAAGTCTGCGGTAGAATGCCCCAAAGAACAGTGCTTGAAGGCCTTGTGCCGTTTTTTATTTTTCTCAGTGACTACTTAGAGAATGGCAGCGATGACATGCTTAACGATTTTACTATGAAAAGTCACAAAGGCCAAACAGTGTACGTCTTTTAATAGGGACAAATACGGAAGTGGCTAGGCAACAGTTTGTCTGGAAGATTCGGAGCTTTTGGTGGCCTGGAGGGCTAACAAATTCCACAGTGTGGCAGGACCACATCAAGAAGCAGTGTCCAAGTCTTGCCATAAACCGGCAGGTGTCTGGCATACCGAGTTCAGTCGCAAGCACTTCATGAAGAGCCCCAAGATCAAGCCACGTGAGAAGCAGAGATGCTGAGCCTTTGGGGGGAGAACAGAACAGCCATCAAGAATCCAAGGGCTGTCACGTGGAAGAGAGAGTGACCCCAGAGGGCAAAGTCAGGAGCCAGGGGAAGTGACAAAAGGGCAGATGGAGACTCCCAAATGAGAAAAACCTCTGGATGACTAACACTAGGCTACCTCCAGAGGGAGGCGCTCCTCTCACGGGAGAGCTTCAAACCAGTGTTGGAGGCCACTCTCTACGTATGGTGTCCGAGGAATCCCCAAGGCTGCCGTGGGGGTGGATGGCCTTGAAGGCCTTCTGGGAGCTCCAAACCGCACCCTGTGCAGAGGGCAAGAGGCTTGATTTTAGATCGGCAGGACCCCAGCTGTCGCCTGCTCTGGACAGAGGGGGCTCCGCTACAAATGCGACTTAATCTGAGCCTCAGTTTGCCATCATTTCACCAAAACACTCCAGATGCGGACAGGCTGGATCCTGCTTCACATCAAGGCCTCTGATGAGGTAGGGTTAGCTGACAAAACGGTTACTGGGAGTGCCTTAGTCTGACAGAAACAACTGCCTTGCACCCTCCAAAGGATACTGCAAGCATCCTCATTTTACTAGTGATGAAACTGAGGCTCAGAGAGAGTGGCTTGTGCATGGTCACAGGCCTACTAGCAAATAATGGGACACAGATCTCCTTAACACTACTTCTGTAGTTTCTCTGTGATACCTTGAGATTTCTGGCAACTGAGGCAAATAACTGATACCTTGAAGGGCAGCAACCTAAACCATGAACTTTTTAGAAGTAATAATCGGTGATTAAAGTCCCACTAAGTCTGTGACACTGTTGTTTTCTGCTAGAAACCCAAGTGTTACAGGATGTGTTTTTCTCAAAACACTAGTAGTTAACCCCTCGTTAGGTCTGAGACTACTTGTTGTACCTGAACTGTTTGCTATAAAACGTTTGAGGTTCTCCCTCTCCATTTCGTGGTAATGCCAGAAATGCAATTAAGAGTGCTTTCTGAAGAAACAGGAAAAAGAAGTGAAAAGAATGCTGAGTAGACATGTTGCCTCCCATACAGACGAGGACCCCGGACAAGTCCACGCAGCCTTGTCTCTCCCAGCTCCGTCCAAACCTAGGAGAGTCATCTGTGTTACTAGGAATTAGAGGGTATTGCTGTTTCCCATGGTGTTTGCTCTCCTGTGACATGGTCAAGATGGGTTTGCCCTCCAAACCGATTCTTCCCCACCTCCCAGAACAGAAACCCTCAAAGGCTTGCGGTGTTGTCTTTTGTACAATTGTTTATACAAATTCAACAAAGGTAAAACTTCATCGAGAAGGGCTATGAAAACACCACCTTACAACAATGGCACTTATGAATGCATAATTGTACAGTAAGGAAAGAATCGTGGCAGAAAACCTGAACCGAGAACTCACATTGCAAAGGAAAGGAGAAAAGAGACTATGTTTGACCATTTATTCTGTGGCTTGACTCACTGTATAAATTAGGTCTATAGAGTAACAAGAGCTCATGCTGGAGCGAAAACCTCCGATGTGCAAAAGCTGAAACTGGAATTGAAAAATTTTGAGAAAAAAGGTGAATCCTATACAGAGAAGACTTGGCCAAATGTCTTACTTCAACTATAACTGACACTGTTTTTCCACAACATGCTTCTGTCACTTCTGAAGGATACAAGCAGGATATAAACTCCCATTCAAACATGCTTTTAAATTGAAAGTGTGAGCCTGCTTGGCCAGACCTGGGCACATCTGCTGATGGATTATTTTTGTCTTATGAAGTCTAGATAGGTTAAGTTGTCTCCTACCGTAAGTAAACCATAAATGTTGGCAAGCCCAAACCAAAATCAAAAACAAAAAACAACACTGGTGTGCATTCAAATGTTGCATAAATAACCTTTAAACAATTTGTACAAAAATAGTTCTGCATCATGTATCGTGTAACAAAAACAAAACAAAACACAGGATGGGTTGAGGCGGCAGAAATGCAGCTTGTGGTCCATTGGAAAGATACTAAAAACTTGGCAGGGGAGGGGTCACCGTGGGAAAAAAGAGGAGCAGAAATTAAAAAAAAAAATGTACACTTCCAAGCTCATGCTCTGGTACTTTAAATAATATCTCCACAGTCCATCCTTCCCTCCCTCCCCACCCCACCCCGCCCCGCCCCCCAGCTGTGAATGTCTCTTAGGAATCGTCACAGAAGCCAGGGAGTGCAGAGTGCCCTGGCCCGTGTGTGCGCTGGGCGTTCACAACGAGGGAGGTGAACTCGGTCCTTTCCGGGATCATTCGATCAATAGATAGGGCTTGTAAAATGGGATCTTTGCTCTCCTCTGTGAGTCCAAGTTCCAAGTGTAAAATAAAATCCCCATGTATTCTGAAACGAAAGTCATTTTCTCCCTCTCCTTCCCCCCTCCCCAGCCCACTATTTACACACCTGTCCTTGGACTAACTCAGTTTCTGTAGGAGTTTTTCTTCCACTTGCCCAAACTGGACACTCACTGACATCTCGGCTATGAACTGCTCACAGCCTTCCTTGGTCACCTGTTTACAGTACCTTAGGTCAATCTGACAGATATTTCCACAACGTTTAAAGAATGACAGGCACTGGTCAGTAACCTTATTGCAGTCTGCAGTGAAGACAAAACAGAAAGAAGACAACTATCAGTGTTCTTGTTTTTCGGGACATTGACACACATTAAGGTATGACTGAAGCTCTGGTCATCTGGCAGCCGCAATGACAGATGGCCAACAGGGGAAACCCAACTTCCCTCCCGCCATAAACGGCCTGCAGGTCGATCACAGGTTGGTAGGTGGCCAATGAGAGCCTAGACTGAGAAGTGAAAGCAACCTCTGATAGATGTGGGACCGAGGGCCCAGATGGATTAAATTAGCTGTCTGTTAAGGAGTTGAGCTGGGATTCAAATCCATGTGGATCCTGCTGCTTCCCACAAATGACCTCAGAAACTATCTAGTTTAACTAGCTAATTTTACTGAGAAAGTAAGGCCCTGTATTAGTGAGTATTTGTTCAATTGAAATGAATTGTCCATCAGAAGTGTCAAACACTAGGAGTGTTGCTGCTGAACCAGATTAAAACATAATTGGTAAAAATTTTACAAAATAAGTAAAAATACAACAGAATGTAGATAATGTGAACTTGTGGTTTTCCGAGTCAACATAGCCCTCAGGGAGCCTTCTGTATGGGTTAGTGTCCCTGTTTCTATTTGAATTTGACCTCACTGCCCTAGATCATACTGAGAGTCAAACTCCACTCTGACTCAGATGGCCTAGAATGCTTTGAGTCTGATCTTCAAAGCCGATTTCCGATGCTGGAAAGCAGAAAAGTAGTGTGGTAAAATGATAAGATTTGGAGAGACAGGTCCGGGTTGGGATCCCAGAGCTTTGCCAGTCACTGCCTAGGTGATGCTGGGGAAGTCCCTGACCCCAGCTTCAGTTTGCTCATCCTCCTCCAGGCTCTCCCTGTACTCCTGAAAGCAAGGTTAATCCACCTGAGAGGACCAGGAGGACACGCGAACTGTCTGGAAGAACCACCCAGCCCCCATCCATGGCCTCAGGTGGGGCCAACAGCAGAAAATGGATGCTGCACTCTGCCTGGCAGCTCGGGGGCTGGGAAGGCCCACCCAGTGCTAGGCGCAAGGTGGAGACATGGTCCACAGGGCCACATCACAACCACACTTCCCGTGCTGGGGGGTTAATGGTAAAGGACAAGGCCAAAAACCGGCCTGGAGCAAACCTGAGAATCCCCAGGAAGTGGCCACACAAGTGCCCCCGCACCCCCACCCTAAACAGAGGCTCCCCAGGAGCGTGCATTTCTTTGACGCTGATGGGCCATGCAGCTCCGACAGGGCCATTGGGGGCCTGGCTTGAGCATGCGGCCTGCTCCTGCTCCCCAGGCTCAACTTAGCACCAAGGAGAGCAATGAGAACCCTGGGCAGAGGGACTTCCAAGTTTCTTCCCAAACAAAAGACTCAAAAAGGTGGGTCCTAAAGGGCTACAAATTCTGCAGGCAAGAGTGCTTGAGGATTAGATCAAAGAGGGAGCTGGAGATCTAGCCACCACTCAGCAGGGCCTCCCTGCAAAAGACGGGGCCCCGCCCTTAGCAATCTTCAGATCTTCATGGGGAAGCAAAAGGAACATAAGGAAGGGAAACAAATCAAGAGTCCATAGCAGGGCATAACTCGGTGGCCAAGTGGACCGAGCAGAAGGTAAGAGCAGCCCTGGCCTGTCCCAGAGGCCCACAAGAGGTCCTGGAGGGACGGCAGAAGCCGAGTTACCCAGGGAAGGGAGCTGCCACGTCCACTGCTAAACATCATGACGTGGAAGAGGCACACACCAACTGAAGCCCACCTAGGAGGGCATCTAGGACCTTGTAAAGTCCTACGTTTGTGACATGTGGCGGATCTACTGCAGGAACTGAGAACACTGAGCCCAGAGAAAAGGTAGGGGGAAAGGCTCTCTGCATCAAGCATCGGCCTAGGTTCAGGCCCTCTGCGAATCCGGCACAGCACAGGGAGGGCAGTGAGTGGCAGCCGGGGAAGGGACGTAAATGGGGCCACGACAGGCGAGCCACGTGCTCCTTCCTGAAGCCGTGGGAGTGCTGATGTGGCAGGTCAGGCTCAGAGAGGACAGAACAGACTCGCTCGGAGCAGAGGCAGAAGGTACAAAGAAGTCAGTTCAGACGAAGTTCAGAAAAGCCTCCGAGAAACAGGAGCTGCCCCCAAGTGGGGTGGGCTGCCAGGGACACAGGTGCACGCGGCTGCCCTCTCCTTGGCGGCGTTCAAGTGTAAAGAGGACCACTCGTGGGGATGGCGAATGGGCAAAGTCATGGATTCAGAGCTGGAAGGGATATCCCGCCCAGACAACTGGCGTCATCGACGTTCTACTGCGAACTGAGCTCGTTCGCTCCTTCCCCACTACATCTGAATCTGCCCCTCTGGGGAACGCCGCAGCCACTGCGCATCTGACACCTCTGATCATTTCATGGATGAGGAAACGGAGGCCCAAAGAATCACCTGCCCAAGCCCCAGCAGCCTGTCAGTCTCAAGCTCTTGCTAGCATACCCCAAGACCTCACCCAGCCCGGCCCACTTGGGACAAAGGGGAGCTGGAGCAGAGTCACATGACCAGCAGAGCGTGTCCACCCGGTGATTTCTGCAGCCAGGGGGGCTCCAAGGGAGCAAGTCTTGGGCAGGGACGGCCCGAGGCCCAGAGGCCATCGATGGGGCTGATGGAGAGAGCAGTCAAAGATGCTTCCGAGGATCTGGGCCTGGCTCACAGAATGGTGGCTTGCGGCAAGAAGCTCCAAGTGGGGAGACTTGGCAAGAGACAGGCTTAGCCAGACTGCACGGTTCAAGACGGCCGGGAGCCATGTGCCGGCCAAGTAGACAGAGATCAGGAGCCCTGGACGCCCGAAGGAAAAGGAAGGAGGAAGGGGAGGGAGGGCTTGAGCTCTGGAAACATCCGAGCAACTTTCAGGAGCAGGCTCCTTCCGTTAAAGTTGGAGGAGCTGAGAAAAGTGCAAAAAGGGCAAGAAAGCCAGAGTGTGTTGTGTGAGCTGCTAGTGTACCCCCCCCAACCACACACACACACACGTGCGCGCACACGCACACTCACACACGGAGAGGGCGCATGGGTCCCAGAGCTTGTTGTGTGAGCTGCTAGTGTAACCCCCCCCCCAACACACACGCACAGGGAGCATGGGCCCCGAAGATGCTGCTGCAGACACAATGCACTGGTGCCTGCCTGGGGTGGGTTCACAAGGACAGGCCCTCGGGGAGGAGCAGGCAGCGGGGTGGGTGTGTAAAGTACAACAGAGAGGAAGGGACAGGAGGGCAGCCAGAAACCACGAGCACTTTCTAACCAGCTTTCATCAGCACAGGAAAGCCTCTACGCTCCAAAGCGTGGAGCCTCAAGTCAGTGTCTCCGGCGGGTCCCTCCCCCACCAGCCCAGCTGGCCAGCTGAAGACAGGTCCTTACCTGATAAGTTAATTTCTGTTAAGGAATCCCTGGTGGTCGTCCCTACCGCTGTCAGCAGGTTGATGGACTGGTCAGTGACGTGGTTACAGTAACTGAGGTGCAGTTTGGAGAGTAGGGGCATGTGGCGGATAATGAGCCGCAAGGAAGCATCTGTGATGTCCAGCCCAGCCAGGCGTAGTTCCACAATGTTTCGGAGCTTACTCCTATTGTCCATCTGGCCTGATTAGGGTAGGGAAGAACAAGTGTTAGGTTAAAAGTAAGTAAAAAAGAAAGAGACAGAGAGCAAGAGCACGAGCTGATCCTGGTGGAGCACTCCCAGAAATGGGAGAATGGCCAAGGTGCAACTGGGTTAGAGGCTGGAGTGACGTGGACCCCAAAGGCCCAGATCCAGATAACCCCCCTACCTGCCACCCTCGGCAGCAGCCAGGGATGGAGGGCAGAGAAGGACTGTGCTGAGGCCCCAGTGACAACACGTAGTCAGTCCAGGGGCCGTCATGAAGGGAGGAAGGGGGAAAGGGAGCTAAAAAGGAAAGGAGCCCGTGCTTGCATGCCCTGGTCAGAACTTGAGCCACCATGACTATACTGTAGATGGTAAGCTCTCCAGGGCAGCAGACCCACTGTGTACTTAGCAAATACGGTTGTTTTTTCATTGAATACAGCAATTTTTTTTTTTTTTTAAATCAAATGCTCCCATTATATTAGTAGGATGTAAGCTACCTAAGAGCAGCAAGTGTGCTCCATTTTTGCCTTTGAGCCTAGCATAGGGCTTGGCATAGAGCACTGTAGATTCCCTCAGCCCCCAAGGCCTTAGCGCTTCAGGCTGACTCCAGGGAAAGGCAAGTGCCCAAGGTCTCTGTGCTCCTTACAGTCCAGAAGGGAAACTTGGACCTGCTCTAAACTGTGCCCCCCGGTTCCCTGAGAGCTCTGCCCTGAATATGGCCTTAACGCGAACCTTTTGTTCCTGTGGGCAACAGGGAAAGGACAAAGACTGTGGAACGTAAACGATGGTGTTGGTGAGCTGTGAGCAAGTCAGAGCAAGCTGGGTAACTGACTGATGGATGCCAGGGAAGAAAGCAGCACCAAGAGAATTTACAAAATGACCAGTGATGTAAATGGAAAGGACATAGAGGAAGGCAAAGACAGTTGTGTGTAGAGCTGTACAAACACTGTGCAGTTGATTCACTGAGATAGCATTTGATATCTAAAAATATGACTGATACAAAAAGGATTGCAGCTGGATGGCCCAGTGGATAGAGCTCTGGCCCTGGAGTCAGGAGAACCTGAGTTCAAATCGGGCCTCAGACACTTGACACTTACTAGCTGTGTGACCCTGGGCAAGTCACTTAACCATGATTGCCTCACAAAAAACAACAACAAAAAAAAAAAGGACAAAAAGGATCAACAAAAACCTTTAAGAATTGTAATAACATTAATGGGCTGATTTGACCACAGGCTGTCCAAGAGCCCTGATCTATGTGAGTGTGCTGGCAGAGGCAGCAGCTCTAGAGGGCAGGGAGGGGGGCACCTCGTCCCCCAGTACTGCTCCGCTCTGTCGGCACTGTCCCTCACTGCGAGGGCCTTCCCCACTTCTATCTGTCCTGTCGGTCTCTTGTATTTACCTACTTATGGGTTCCCTGTCTCCACCCGAGGGCAGGGACGGACATTCTTCCCCTGGTACCCTCAAGGCCCGGCACACAGGGAGTGCTGGTTTCCCGCCCCTTGACAAAGGCACCCGTCTGCCATCATACCTGGCCGGTTGTCTGTGGGGGGGGGACAGCAGGTCCCGCATCTGGGCGTCCTTGAGTCCTTCCACCCACTGCACGTCCAGTGTTCGCAGCAGAGGACAGCTGGAGCTGCACAGGGCAGAGACGGCGATCCAGGAGCAGCCAGACAACAGCAGGTCCCGGAGCCCTGCGGAGCACGGGCAGCCGTGAGCCACACGGTCAGCCGCGAGCCGCATGCCATGCTCCGCCGGGGGTGGGGTGGGGGGGGCCCACTCACCAGGCAGCCTGTTGATGAGCCAGCTGAGCTGCTTCTTGGAGATGTTGGTCCAGCTGAGGTCCAGGGTGATGGGCTGTCGGCGGATGATGCCACTGAGCATGAGCGGGGTGATGGATTTGCAGTGGTTCAGGTCGATTTTGGTCCATAACCGCTTATCACAGCACCTGCGACCGACGCCCACAGAGAGGGGTGAGAGGCCACAGAGGCGAAGGGACGGGCCCTGGGCAGTCATTTCCGAGCGAGGCCCGAGAAGGGATGAGCTGACACCCCGATGGGGGCCGGCCCTCCCATGCCCTCCAGCCTCGGCGGCTGCCCCTACAACTCCTTCTTAAAGGAGTCTCCAGCCCCAGAGCACAGGCTCTTCACCGCGGGTGGATCATGAATGTGGACAGGAAAAAAATTTCATCTTTATTTTCACTAACCTCTAACTGAAATTGAGCATTTCCTTAAAAAAAGACTGTGACTGGCACTTAACAGCTTCCCCAGGTGGCCAAACGCCATCAAAGGGGAAGGGCCCGTGGGGCTCACTCCCATGGCCCTCGAGCCCCGGACGCCCCATTCTAAGAAGAGAGGCCCTCCGGCAGCGTTCTGTCCCCCCACTTGGGCCCAGCCTTTGGCTCGGTGTGTCTGTGCCATGACACCACTGCCAGGGTCTGCCTTCCCCGGGGGCACCACTCCCAGTTCCCCTTCCAGCCCCTCCCCGCTCCTCACCAGCGGTTCCAGGTCTTGCAGACCCGCATACAGACACAGAGGTCACTGTGGCTGAGGTAGCTGAACACGGCCATCCACACTTCCCGCTGCATGACGTGGGCGGCGCCGTCATCCAGGGGCAGCGAGTCTGGCGGGGGGCTGATGGGCGGCGGGCGGATGACGTGCCGCTCCATCTGGATGCACTTGGGTGGGGACAGGGAGGGCGGGGGCCGCGCCGGGACGCGGGGGGGGCTGCGCAGGCCGGGCACGAGCGGGTGCCGCAGCTCGCGGGGGGCCCCGTTGAGGCCCTTGCTGAAGCGGGGGGGCCGCTCGCTCCCCAGCATGCGCTTGGGCTCCTCGTTCTCGCTCTCTGGCTCCGACTTGATGGGCTGATGGTTCTCATTGGCGAGGCTGTTCTCGGTCTTCTGGATCTCCTGGTTCAGCTCCTTGCTGAGTTCCTTGCTCAGTTCCTTGTTGGGGAGCCGCCGCTTACGGCGGGCCTTCATTTTTTTGTCTGGGCCCTCGGCGCTCTCGGTGCTGGGCCCTGCGGTGGGGGAGCTGGACCTGGACTGGTCACTCTCCTTGCTCTTGGGGGGCGCCTCGGGCAGGTCGTCCTCGGGCTCCTGCTTGAAACGCCGAGGGGGCTTGTTGGCCAGGCCCACGCGGTCCTCGGCATTCTTCCAGGACCGCCGCTGCAATAACAAGGTGGCCTGGCCTTAGCAAAAGGCACCCCAGGGCACCCCGCACCCCGGGGCCCGACACACAGCTCCAACAGGGCGAGGGTCTAGGACTCTGGGGTGGAGAGGGCTCAGGGGAGGGGAGGTACCTTTTTCCTGAAAAGCTTCTCCTCCTTGACGAGTTTTAGCTGTCACGGGAAAGAAAGAACACAGAGCTTGGCCCCTGTTTCTAGGGGCCGGCCCAGCCCCAATGCAGCTCTCCCATCCTGACCAGGTCCACGGTCCTGAGAGAGCCTGGGAGCGCAGGCAGGCCTCTGGCCCCATCCCTGTGACTCCCTCAACAACACCAGAATGACGGGCAGCTGGGTCCTGCCTCTCTGCTTTTGGGGAAAGCAGAAAGGTATGGCTAGTGGCCCATTTACTCAGTGCCTACAGAGGCTGGCCACTGGACATGAGGAAAAGCGGAGTCCTCTGGAGGTGACGTCCCAGGACAGACGGGGAGCCAGCCACACCAGAGGCCACAATAAAGGGGAGGAGAGGCTCCAGGCGCCACCCAGTGGCCAAGCGGACGTGGCCAGGATCCTGGAGATCATTGATAGAGGTTTGCAAAGTGCTTTGCATGCATTAGACCAAGAGATGGACAGATGCAGAGACCATCTGCTGCACGGGGTGCGATGGGTCTGTCCTCTGGGCACGACCAACACCTGAGAAAACGGGAAGGCATCTGCCGCCTTCTGAGCTCTGCGGTGCACAGACCCCGCCCGGAGCTGGCCAGGATGTGGGACAGTCGCCCCCAACGCTCCCGGCCTGCTCCGGGGAGTTTCTCTGTGTTCAGGGCAGCTCGCAGCCGGGCCCCCTGGGTTCTACGCCCTGGTCCCATCCCCACAGAGCGCCTCAAGGTCCCCTGGGCCGCGGGCCTAGAGCCGAGCCCCCCGCCTTCCTGCTAGGTATCGTGCCCGCTGCCGGCCGTCCCTACCCGCTTCCGAGCGTTTAGCTCCTGGGGCTTCTCGAATTTCCGCTTCCTCCTCAGGTGAACTTCGTCAGACTTTCTGCGAAGGACGGCATCGGCAGGCGCCTTCTTGGCGTGCTCTTCGGACTTCCGCCGGGCAGCCTCCTCACACTCTCCTCGCCGTTTGGTCGAGTCCGGCCCTTCCTTGTTGTCCCGGTTCATCTTCTGCTCCTTTAGCAGCGAGCCGGGCAGGTTCGAGGCGTACTTGAACCCGGGGCCGCGCTTTTGCTTGTACGCCAAAAAGAGAAAAACACAAACAACCTTTATATCTTCGGACTTGAGCCTTCCTTTATTCACGCCTACGCCGTGGGGTGGATTCCTGGGGCAGAGTGGAGGCCGGAGACCCCAAAGTGGACCGGCCAGCCACGAGGCCCCACCCCTGCCCGACGCTGGCGTGACTCGCCCTGCCCTGCCCTGGGACCTGGCCACTGACACTCACTTTCCCAGTCTTGCCAGCATGATTGCACTTTGGACACTCCCAGCAGTTGGGGAGCTCATCGTTGACCACGCCGTCTGACTCCTTCACCTGCACGAAAGAAGGCACGTGAGCGTGGAGGAACGTCGCATCCCCACACCCCCTTCCAGCACCACCACCGCTGGTCACCCTCTGGCCAAAGCCCCACCTTGTCCAGACACAGGAAGAACATGAGGCCCAGAAGATCTGGACGTGAGGGAAGGGGAGGATGGAGATGAGAACTGAACAAACCCTGGGTGGCCTCACCCCCGTCCCCAGGCAGGGGCACCCCGGGCAGCCTCCACAGTAACCCATATACACCCCTCCTCCTCTCTCCTCCCAAGCTACCCTCATGCCTGTTACTGACCGGGTTGGTGCCAGGGGTAAAAAAAGGTGCCCGCTGGGGCCATTTTCCTCTCAAAAAAGTTGCCAGCTGCTGCAGGAGGCTGGCCCTAGCCAGTGTCTAAGCTGAACTACACACAAGATGAAGTCACCCTGCCCCTTGGGCACCCAGCTTCTATTCAGGTACGGTGAGGTCAGCCCTGAAGCACTAGTTCCCTGGGCAAAGGTCACGAGGGAATATGGGAAATCCCTGGGGCCGGTGGAAGAACCAAGCAACCAGAGGCTTAAGAACATCCCAGCTCACGGGGCAGGCAAACGGTCCTGGGGGGGGGGGGGGCTCCAGTGTTCTCCCCTGCTCCCCCCTCCTAGGAGGCACACAAGTCAGAAATCTGGACGAGCTCCCCAGGCACCCTGTCTCCACCCAGAAAGCTCAGCTCCCCTCTCCCTCCTTTTCTAGGGGGGAGGGGGGAGCTGGAGAAGACAACCGCAGTGGATTCTGGGAGTTGTAGTCCAACTGTGATAACGACCAGGGTGGAAATTCTGACCAACTCCTCAGAAAACCTTCCTGAGATGGTGGTGGCCATGCAGAACCCACCAGCTTCAGCTGGCCAGAGGCCTTCTGGTGCCAGCCCAAGCAATGGGCACCTAAGGGTATACGAGGGCTCTAGTTTCTAAGCAGGAGTGCCCAGGTCCAAGAGTGTGGAGTCTGCTGAAGGCCTAGGCGGGGGGGGGGTGTCTGCCATTCAGGCCCGTGCGACACTTGCAGTCTGACTAGATGGCCCCAGACCGCCCAGGCCATCTCACACCGTCTCCAGGAGGATGGCCCACAGCACTCCTCTGCAGGGGGGGCCGACAGCCACAGGCCTTGGGTAACCATCCCCGTCACAGAAGCAAGGTTTAAAGGGCAGGGCAGGCTGGGGAGTGACCTGATGACCCCACAGCAGGCGCAGGCATCCCGGAGCCAGCACTCACCTTAAGGCATCCAGGGTGGATGATTTCATTGCAAATGGAGCACTCCATAAGCATGAGGTTAAACTTGCCCTCCTCCTCCTCCACCGTGTCTTCCTTCCCTGCCTCTCCACACACCAGACACACGGCAGTGTGGGGCAGCACTGGCTGTGACCACGGCAGAAAGAGAAAACAAGGAGAGTCAGGCCCTGCAAGCAGGCAGCACCCATGGTGACCCCCTAGTGCCAGAGGCCTCCCTGCCATCCCCCTGAGGTGCGACCCTCAAGCCGCCGACCATGGCCCTGGAGGATCTGCAGGCTGCCTCCAGGGAGGAGGCCGAGGCATGGACGAAGACACCAAACAAGGCTCAAGGGAAAACCCTGTTCCTTCATTTCTGGGCAGACCCATGAGGAATGGGACAGAGACACCGCCCTTGAGTTTACACCGACACGCACCCATGCCTGAGCCCTGAGCAAGGGATGACCAACGTGCTGGGAGGCGCTGGGAGAGCTCACAGAGCCTGGGGAGTGGTCAGAGCGAGCTTCCTGGAGGAGGCAGCGTGAGAATGAGCCAGCAAGCCCTTGAAAGGCAGTGATGACAGGAGGACAAGGAATGTATTCGAGTTGGGACAACAGCTGAAACACAGTCCCCCATGCAGAGCAGAGGGAAAAGAAAGTGAAGGAAGCCGTCATCCTAACTCCGGTCTAATCTGGCGAGGGTCTGAACAAGGGGAGGAGAACTGAGGTCGCAGAACCCCGAGCACTTGCAGGTCAGGCCAGAGCAGGCAGAGGGCCAATGGACTCTGGGGTCCAGGACTAGCCCCAAAACCAGAACAAGAATGCTGGATCTGGGGCTGGGCAGGAGCACAGGGCCAGGGACAGCAAGCAGGTGAGGATGACCTCCTAATGTGCACACAAGCCAGGGGTGAACAGGGGAGTGTGTGCCGTGTGCAGCGGGACGGGAGAAGGTCCAGGGGCACCTGAGCAGAGGCAACAGCAAAGAGCCCGTGAGCAGACAGATCCCCGGAGCACAGATTTTGTGCTGGTGAGACCTCAAGGAGTTATCAAGTATAACCCCTTCCTTTTACAGGCTCAGAGAGGCTAGGTGACTCGCCCAGGGTCACACAGCTGCCAAGCCTCTGGGAGGGGATACAAACCCAGCTCAATAGAAGATGCTGCCTCTAAGGCTGTGCAAATTAGCAAGGGCCAAAAGTCAAGGCCTGGGAGCATTGGGCAAGTGCCTCCTCTCTCTTCTTATTCTTTCTGAGTAGAAGCTAGAGGTAGCTTGGTGGATACAGCGCTGGGCCTAGGGTCAGACCCGAGTTCAAATCTAGCCAGGTGACCCTGGGCAAGTCACTTAACCTCTGATTGCCTTAATCTACTGGAGAAGGAAACGGCCAAAAAAAAAATTATAAAAAAAAAAAAAAATGGAGTATCTTTGTCAAAAAAAGTCCACGAACAGTCTGGTCCACAGGGTCACACAGAACTGGACACAAGCGGACAACAAAGCAGGATAATGGTCACTGCCCATAGCTGGGCAAGGCAAGCGCGAGGCCAGATCCATGGTGGACGCAGGACCCCACGTCCCAGCTCAGCCCTCTAACCAGAGCTGGTCTTAGGCAAGAACTCAGAGAAGAAGGGGATGGGGCTGAATGGCCAGAACGTCTCCAGAGCCAGACTCTGCTCTCTCCCATGCGCCCCGGGGTCAGTCTTAGGGGTCAGTCTGATGCCAGGCAGACGCAACAGGATCTGACGGGCTGCGTCTGGGACAGCTTCCCCAAAAGACAGACTTATCATCCGTCTCCTGCGATGGCTGTCCAGGAGCCAGGTCATGCCTTGGAGGGCTCAGCTGGGGCTCTGGAGCTGGGGCCCTCCTGGCCTGTCTGCCACAGCACGGCATCACTGCGGACGGAGTCCAGGGCGGGATCTGTGGAGGCCGCCAGACCGGCCCAGCCCCTGCCGGCTGTCAATCACCCCTTATCTCACGCAGGAGTTCCTGGGGAGTAGGGCGCTGACCTTCCACCAAGACCTCTTCCTTTGAAAGCAGGAAAAGAAAGACCTAAAACTATCATCAACCCAACGACAAACTGCTGGCAGCCAGGTCACAGACAGGACACACCGCTGCTAGGGGGTGGGGGTGGGGGTGGGGAGCACAGAAGCCTCTGAGTTGAAAGCACTCCGTAAAAACCAAAATTAGAGAGGATGGAAATGATTTTTTTTGTTCCCCGGGGCAGATCAGTGCCTCCCCGAGTGAGGGATAGCCATCTTCTGAAGGGGAGCCCAGGAGCCCAAAGCAGCTTCATGGCTGCCCACAGGCAGTGCTGAGGGCCCTCATCATCTGGGGGCCATGCTGGGGTGAAATCCAGGAGGAGGGGGAGCTAGCAACAGCATCATCTGGGAAAGGGGCCAATTGCTGCCTTTCAGTTCACCCAACTAGGGACCCGGGGAATTAATAATGAAGTAAAGTCAGAGACCGGCAGCCTGTGCGCCACATGGGGGCTGTGGTGCCAGGAGAGCCGGTCAGCTTCCAAGGCAGGCCCCTCCCTCCTGAGACAGAGTGAACAATGGAGCCCTGGAGAACAAGACCCAGGCTGGCAGGCTAGGGCAGCATGGGGCCTCCTGGGCTCCCCACGCCTAGCGCAGGAGCTTTATAAATGCTAGGCTCTTGACCGACTACTGTGCTATATATAGCAAGGAGCGGGCTGCTGGAGCAGGATGAGACGCCTGGAACTCGCAGGACTGGTCTTCAGGCTACGGCCACGCACCTGGCGGGCAGACTCCATGTCCTGCTGGCATGGGCACAGCCGGCATGGCCTCTGAGAACCAAAGGTCCCCTCCAGCCAGGAGCAGGCCTTGGAGGGAGCCCTAAGAGAGGACTTGAAGACCAGACTGCTCCAGGCTAATCCCTGAGGTCAGAGCAGCCTGTGGGCATACGAGGGTCACTCAGGTCTCCTGTCCCATTAAGGAAGGAAGGAAGGGAATCGTGTCTGAGACTTTGAGTAGGGAGCCGTGGCTCAGTCATTCCCAGCTCACTGTGAGGGGAGAGGAGGGAACCGTGGGGGCCAGGGCCCTGACAAGCCCTGCTGGCACTTACCGCGATGCACTGTCTCATGATGCAGGACTGCTTCATCCGCCCGGGCCCCCCAAACTTCTTCATGTCCTTGCAAAAGTGACACTCTCCACACTCGGTCCGCAGGCAGGCCTCGCACTTGCGGCATCTCGTCCGTCGCCGGCGCGCCCCTGCCGTCGTCCGATTGGCGGCCAACTTCACCGCTGAGGCTGGGCCCAGCTTCCCCTTGGGCCGACCTACTGCCCGGTTCTGCAAGACGTCAGAAAACGTGCCTCGGTGAGGAGCTGCCCCAAGAAGGCCCCACAGCTGCATCCGCCCGGGGACAGCCCCTGGCCGGGCACAACACGGACTGCACAGCCCGTGTGTTCTCTGCATCTCCGCTGCCCTGAGAGGACCTCCCCCTCTGGGGCAGGGAACCGGGGGGGTGGGGGGGAACCAACGGCAGGGCAGGGAGTTCCATCCTGGGGTCTTTACTCCTAACCCCCAGCCCCATCACAGGCCCTAAAGTTGCCTCCAACTCTGAGGCACGTCCCATGTTTGCTGGGAATCAGCTGTGTTCCTCTGCTCAAAAACTGTTTTTAAAAACCCAAACCCAAAACAGAAAGACCCAAAAACACTGGAGGCAGTGGAGGACCATGGAAACAGCCAAGTTTGGAGTCAAATTAAAATTTGGGTTCAAATGAACCTGAGTTCAAATCCCAGCTCAGCAATGTACCCAAGTGACCTCGGGAAAGTCACTGAAACTTCTCTCTGAGTCAGTTTCCTCACCTATAAAATGAGGACAACAGCACCTACCTCATAAGGTCGTGAAGATCGCAGATCAGATCAAAAGCACTTTGCAAACCTTAAGGTATTCTAGAAATGCCATTATTACTCAACTGCTCTAGGCCCAAGCCTCCTCAGTTGTAAAATAAGTAACAACACGTCATTTCTTGAGATCTCAAACTGCTCTTTTGACGCTCCTGCCCCATTTTACACAAGAGGAGACTGAGGCTGTGTGGTCGGGGCACTACTAAGTGTCTGAGGCAGGACGGGCCCTGATTGATGTCTTCCTGCCTCAGAGATGAAGGCCTGGCCCCCACAGCCTCCACTGTCTCTTCAAGCTCTAAGAACCCATAAATCTCCCCTGGAACAGGGCGGGAAGAGGTAACCGGTACATTTCCCTGCCTCCTGCCCAGGCCTGGGGCCTGCCTGTAAGTTAGTCTATGTTATTCTATACTTAGTGAATCAGAGGCCACTTTTTTCTGGCTGAATCCTTCCAGCTATTGAGAGCCTTCACATTAATCCCAGGGTCCTTCTGAAGACTAAATGTTTGGGAAAGGAGATAGCTGCCACGTTTCAGTTCGCTGTACTAGGAACCAGGGGAGTTCATTTTAAATTCTGGACCACCCCTTTCCCAGAAAACCACCCAACTCGGTCTTTGTTCCACCACACACAACCAGAAATACCCTGGCTGTGGAGCAGTGGAGGAAGAGCAGAAAGGCCTTTCTACGTCTGGGGCCCCAGGTCCCAAGGGGCTGCCTCTGGGAGGAGAGCAGGCCTGAGTATCAGCAGAAGCCCAGGGCCCTGGATGGCCGGCCGGTAGAGTGGGAGCACCTGGTGCAAACCCTGCCTTCAGTTACTAGGCAGGAAACTTTGGGCAAGTTCCTTAAACCCTGAGGGGCTGGTTTCCTCATAGGAAAGAAGAGGCCTGGACTAAAATCCTCCACCCAAGACAGCGCGAGCATGCACGCGTGTGTGTCTGTGTCTGTGTGTCTCTCCTCCCTGCCTCGCCCCGCCCCACCCCCAAAATACACACAATGGCCCCTCTTCCAGACCACTTCTCCATATAGGAATTTTAAATTTTACATCTTCCTCCTTGGGAAAGCTCACCTCCATCACTTTTGATATGTCAGCTCCTGTGCCCCAAATTCACAATGGAGGCACACCCCCCACTTCTGTGAACATAAAGCCACCTATTTAGAACTGAGACCTCAGAACCCCATTTTGCAGGTGAGGAAACTGAGGCACAGAAGGTAAATGACTTGCCCAGGGTCACCCAAATAGTAAGTGTGAAGTTAGGTGATCTAAGAATTCAAGTCCTTCTAACTCTGACTCTCAGGTCTACAATGCCATGCTGACGGGGCTTCTCTAGCTGGTAACATCAGCCTGACCCCCAAGGTGAAGCCTCCAATGTCCCCCTCCCAAGTGTGCTCCAGAACCCTGGGCAGAAGCTGGCTCTCCAACTACCCATCTCCCTCCCTTGCTGAGCCAGAGCTCCCTCCTTCCAGGCTCAGGCCAACCTGCCCATCAAAGCCGGGCTTCACCCCCAGCCACTGCCCAAGGCTGTTCTGGAGTATCAGGAGTTCATGTGTGGGCAGGTGTTGAGTGAGCTCCCCCTAGGGACGTACAGAGGGGAAGGGCCTGCCCACACTCAGGGAGGAGGGAGGGGTACTTTCAACGTGAGGGGTCTCACCACAGACTCTCCAGGACCATCTCAGCCTCCCACGCCCTACCCCGCTGGAGCCTCCAGCTTACTAGAAAAGAAGGGAAGGCACAGCTGACTGTGGAGAAGCAGGAGCTGCCACGCTGCCCCAAAGTGAGCAGGACAAGATGGCATGGGGGCATGGAGGAACAGTGTGTCAAACCCCAAATGTGACAGACCGCCTCACAAGGCCGTGGGTCCCCCTCACCAGGGGGCCTCACACCACGTCTGGGGACAGAAGGACCAACTTCTGTGACAGCTCAGCTTCCCCGCCTTGGTCAAGGGCATATTCAGAGGGAGTGGATCTGGCCAACATCTTCTCCCATGCCCAAGGACTAGCACCGTATTTTGTAAGTTAAGTCTAAGTGTGCCTGCTGGCTACAAGAGACTGCAAGCCTCCCAAGGGCATGGGTGGTCTTTGAGTGATTGGTGCTGAAAAAACACTTGATTAACTGATTGGTAGAAAATGCATTCACAGATGGTCAAGGACAGGACAGATCTAAAGCCTCAAGAGCCCTCACAGGTCACCAAGCCCAATCCCCTCATTTTACAGCTGAGGAAACTGAGAGAAAGAGAGGAGAAGGAACTTGCTTATAGTAAGTATCAAGGAGGATCTGAACCCAGGTCCTCCTCTGCCGTCTCCACACTACATGAGCCTGGGGGCCTCCGATGGCCCCGGCATCGACGACGGTCAACAAGAGGGTGTCTGGAAGGCAAAGGACAAGCGAAGGGAGTGGCCCAGTCAGAAAAGGCCTGATGGGAAGGGCTAACAGAAAGGGAAATACACCGAGTGGCCAGGCCAGGAAACACACCCTGAGACCAGCCCCCCCAATCCACGAACCACACCCCCATCAACCCATCTGTAAATCCTAGAGACAAGTCACAGCTCAGGAGACAGCCACGGACTCCTGCACTCAGCGGCATCCTGCCCTCTCTTCCTCCCACCACAAACACAAACGGAAACCAAAGCTGCCCCATCTAAACAATTCTGACCTCCCCCTCCCCCGCGGGATCGTGGAAGGCAGCAAAGGGCTGTTGGCTGGAGGCATCTTCTAGTCCTAAGTTCATACTGGCCGTGCGTTTCAATCCTCTCCTTTTACAAGGAGGAAACAGGCCCAGAGAGGCTGGTGAAGTTACTTGCCCAGGGTCACACAGATAGCAACATCCTGACATCCAAATGGGCTCCCAGATCCTTAGACCCAGCAGGTCAGAGCGGCAGGGGGTCTCGGAAGCCATCCAGCTCAACTCTTACTGAATAAGAATTCCCTCTACAACACAAAGAAACCTCCAATGACTCCCTAGTACCACCATGTGGAAAACAAATTCCTCAACATGGCTTTTTATTTATTTATTTTTGGTGAGGCAATCAGGGTTAAGTGACTGGCCCAGGGTCACACAGCTACTAAGTGTCAAGTGTCTGAGGCTGGATTTGAACTCAGGTCCTCCTGACTCCAAGGCCAAAGCTTTATCCACTGCGCCACCTAGCGGCTCCTTCTCGGCATGGCTTTTAAAGCCTCCCACCATCACCCAGCTCCTACAGACCCTTCCCGGCTCATTAAACGCCACTCCACATTCATGAACCCTGAGTACCAGTCACACAGTCTGCTGGCTCTTTCCTTACACGTGAAATTCCATTTCCCACTCTCAAGTCTGAAACACTCTAAGTCACTAATTAGAGAAATGCAAATTAAAGCAACTCTGAGGTACCACCTCACACCTGTCAGATTGGCTAAGATGACAGAAAAAGAAAAGGACGAATGCTGGTGGGGCTGTGGCAAAAGAGGCACGCTGATGTACCACTGATGGAACCTCAGCCAGGCCAACCTTTCTGGAAAGCAATCTGGAACTATGGCCCAAAAAAATTATTAAACTGGGCACAGCCTTTGGGCCAAATGAATCCCAAAGAATCAAAGAAGAGGAAAAAGACCCTTTTTGTGGGAGCAGAGGGGATGTTCATCAACTGGGGAACGGGCTAAACGAGCTGTAAGAAACAATGGGGACGATTTCAGAGAAACCTGGAAAGACTTGCTGAAACCGAAACCAACTGTAACAAGCAGAACCTGCTTCCGGTTAAGGAAGTAATGGAGACTCAGCGTAGACTGAGAAACCTTTTTTGGACATAAATCAAAGCAGGAATTTGTTCTGTGTGACTCTTCATATTTGTAACAGGGGTTTTGTTTTTCTTGCTTTCTAAATGTTTGGGGGGTGGGGTGAGAGGGAAAGAACGAGGACTTGAAGTAACAATCATCTTCCTTCTGACCGCTTGTTCTTGCGAGGCAGTTGGGGTTAAGTGACTTACCCAGGGTCACACAGCTAGTAAGCCACAACCGACCCTGAAGCCCCCCAGGGAGAGGCTGGCCTAGATGTGTCCCCTACTCTGATACTCTGACACTGTTATCCATATGATGTCTTGGACAAGGAAAGGAAGATACTGAGGAGAGCCCTCCCCACTCCAAACAGTTTTAGAAAAATCAAACCCTCTGTCCTTCCAAGCCTGAGAGCCAGGGAGCCAACGAGGTCTCAGACCCCAGGGCCGGAGCCTCAGAGACTTGCACTGCAGGGGGCTCCCGGGCAGCCTGCCCCACCCTTCTCAACACCAATCCCTCTACAGCACAGCCAGGGAGTCATCGGCTGGATGCCCACTAACGGGGCTAACAGGCTCCTTTCCAGAGCTCCTCGTTCTACCTTGGGACAGCTGTCACTACTGGGAAGGTTTTCTTCCCTTCGAGCCTGAAATCCCGCTCTCGGCTAAAGGCCCGTCAGCCTGACTCAGGCATCAGGCCCA